ATGTTCTATTTAATAACTTCCTATTTCACCTTTCTCAAAAAAATTATTTATTTTCACTTTTTTGTATAAGCAATCAAACAAATAAAGTATTAGCTTATCTCTTTTGAGGAGGCCGTAACTAATGTAACTAATGTGACCAATCGTGTAACAGTATTTATGATTGTAACTTGCAAATACAATACGCTAATAAATCATACTCTGAGTGACAAGTAGTTCCCGCTTAACAATAAAAGATCCAGATTCTCGATAACAGTGAAGGCTATTCCAGAGGATTCAAGTACAAAATAAATAAAGCTTTGGATGACAGCTGGAGTTAATTAGTGTACAGGCAGTTGATGAATAATATAATAACAGTGCGAATTTCGAGCGTATACAGACGACTTAAATACAATGACGATTCCATAAGAAATATAAATACCGAGCGATATAAATAAGAAGTAGTTCTTCTTCACGCCTTAAATATAATACCGATTATTATGAAATTTTGTATACACATTGTTACAGGTACAGAAAAGGACATAGGGTATTTTTTATCAAGAAAAAGATATGTTCTCGAAAGATAGAAAAATTAGTTTTATGTGACCGTCGATGATCTTTGGCACGTATTTAGGACACCATGCGAGCGAAGCCGCGGGTAAAACCTTTCACGAAATATTTTACACACATGTCGATTTCACTTCCTAACTACTCCACCGATTATCGTGAAATTAAGTAAACACATTGTCAGGGTTATAAAATATTTAATCAACGCGAGAGAAGCCCCGCGGGTAAAAACTAGGTAGCATATAAACAAATAACTGTAATATAAATAAAACGAATGCCAGAAAATTAGTTACAATTTAAAATAGTAAATAAGTTGAGAATCTTCTAGTAGAAATGGCGAAGAAGTTAACCTATTTCAAGATACTAGATTTAAAACGTGAACCCGAGGAAACAGAAGAAGACAACAAATAATAAATCTACCTGCAGAAACAACCCGCCGATGCTTTGACGAGAGCGTGCCTCGATCCTGAGACGTTTGTGTTTGAAAGTGAAAAAGAAGAAATAAGCAGAAATTTTTAGAATTCAATAGCATTAGAATAGTTTGAATAAACCTTAACGAAAATTCAAAAGTTTTGGAATAAAAGTCTGAAGAAAAAATAACGGAAATTCAAAAGGCTTAGAAAATGAATAAGTGAGAAGTCAAATGAAAATTCTAGATTAAATGAAAATTTTGAGCAAAAGCTACCTGAAAATTCAAGGGGCTTAGAAGAAAAATTAGAGAAGAAATTTAAAGAATGACAACGGAAAAAATTGGCCGAAACAGAAAATAAACTTGAATGCGAATACATAGCTAAAAGTTCCTCAAGGAAACTTATACCAGAAAAGATCGATAACCAGTTTCCAGCAAAACAAGATTGAATAAACTATTCACGTGAAGCAAAAGCCTGTTCCATCAAAAGTACCCTCGAAAGCCACTGAAGTTTGATAATTCATATTGCATAAATATTCGAACTTCCAGCTTTATAAANTTCCACAGATAATCTTTCATTCTCTTCTGTCTTCATTTCGTCCGTCTCAACTTTCTCACCCGAACCACCACTCACCCATTCCCACGATTCCTGAAAGCAGGCTGAAGAGGGCCTTCCGCCCTAGTCCAGAGGGACTGCCCGCCCACCAGCATTACTGGCTGGTGGGAATGAAACACCCAAAAGTTTTTTTTCTGATTCCTGGTTTTTATCCACTCTCTACCAGCTTCTTTTTTCTCAGCGTTGAATGGATTAGGCATATTATTTTTAAATGCTAACTGGTATACTAATGCCTTTAGATGTTTAACCGTAAGTCCATATAACCTTTCTTCCATTTCTAATTAATAGGCACAAAGATCATTTTCTTCAGACACAGAAAAAAACAGGCAACCTAGGACCCAATGGTACTTTAATTGGTATAGGTAAGTTTTCATCAGATGTTCCGTTCAATACACATTAAATTGTTTAGCTGCTTTATAATAACCCATTTTACCATCCAAAACCGCTTCAACTGCTCCCCGCATGGAGCCTTCGGAAAACGACCCTCTCTCAGTCGTGCATTTGTAGTCACGAACCATTCTAGAAAGGCAAACTAAGCTCACAAAAACAAACTCATTTTTACGGAAAACAAACAACAAAATTATTCTCATTGCGGGCAAGATGGGCTACCCCGTTACCCCATCTCGCCTGCAGAGTCATTTTATAAACAGAAAACAAAAAAAAACAGTCAACAATCTTAAGGAAACACAATGCCTACCTTATTATAGGTTAGTTTAAGCATCAATCACAGCAACACCTCACCAGCTAATGTTATTTAACAAACCACAGTCACGTGTCAAACCAGAATAAAATATGATAAACAATTTACAATAAAACACTTTTTTTGAATTTTTTTCGACACTGTGCACTTGTGAACCACTAACCACCGGACGACTGACAAGTATCATGGCGGCGCGTTGAACGATGAATGAACGAGAGTGATTGGTCAATTTGAACTGTAAATTTTGCTGGGTACCCCGTCTTACCCGCTACCCTGTCTTCCCTCCTTCACCCCTATGTCTAATCATACTCAACTGATACTGCAGAATTGTCCAATGCCAACCTCTAACTTGATAGCCTCTTTCTCGAAATTGGTTCTTGTCAGAACCAATGATTCTTGTTGGTCGCGATAACCGTAATGGACTATATTAGTAACTTTCACCATCCGCTAGTCCCCATGAAATCCCGGACCGGCGCAGCCCAGTAGCCTCGTCACCATACCCAAGCATTCAACAAGGCACTACCCCTGGACCCACTTCGAATGCCGATCGCCATGTTTAGCTCGACCGTTTCACAGCAATCATTATAGAATTTGAAACAATGGTAACGCAAGGCATCGCGAACGTCATTACACATGGTCCCAAAGAAAGACGATGAATGACGCCCATGTGGATTACCGTTCTCGCAACGCAAGGACCATCCCCGACAGATCCCCTGTATGCAAAATTGATTATTTCGCGCATGTATTAGCGAACAAAACAATATTTTATACGATAGATTTGGTTCGAGTCTACAACCAAATTCTGGTTGCAGAGGACAATATTCCCAAAACAGTAACAACAACTCCACTTAGTTTGTTCGAATTTCTGTAGATGAACTTATGATTACGTAATGCCAGCCAAACTTCAACGTTTCATCGACTAAGTATTACATGACCTTGATTTCTGTTTCACTTACATCTACTATAAATTGGTCGTATCAGTCTGCATTCCTACGGCATACGACTTCAGGCAAAAAGCAAATTTAGTGTAAAGAAGTCTCTTTTTTTGGTTACGCTGTCTCAGAAATGGGATGCGCCGTTTTCCTGACGCAATGACGTCAATCAAAAATTCCTCACACCAAGTACCACAAAACAATTACGAAGACTTTTGGGTTTGCTCAACATCAAGAAAAAATTTCTACCCAACGCTGCTCGCACTCGTTCTGCTTTGAATGAACTTCTTCTGGAGAATACAAAAGGAAATGTACCGTTTCAGTGGAACTCTACAGCCGACAAGGAATTCAATTAATGTTTACATAACGTTAATTTTATCATTCTTTTGTGTTCTTATTACTATGTTGAGGTGTACTGTAAATAGCGCTACATACTATCAGCGATGAACAAAGTTATTTAATTCATTTTTTTTTGTCTATACATTATTGTGTACCATATGTGTAATAGCATAGTAATAAACTGTTGATATATATATATATTGTATTAATCGTTCCACAAACGACACTGTTTACATTTTCCATCAATGTAGCTGCTTAGGTGTTATCGCAATTCACGCGCAAGAGCGGCTTCGTATTGTAACTTCTTCGGGTTTTTTCCAAATGTTTTTGTACCCTAACGACCCAACATGCGATTTCATATTGCTTCTAGTTAACTCGCTCCAAAGCTTGTCACTTATTTTAGAAACGCCCTGTATATAACTAGCCTCGTAGGGATCATAAAAGGTAGGTGTGTCAAGAGGTTTCTTGGATCGCACATTATAGTCCTGGAGTGAAGATACGATTGGTTTGAACATTTTCCATTTATATTCAACCTGAAGTAAACATCTTGTAAAAACAAGTAATCATCTGCAGAAGGTTTCTTTGTGCAATTTTTATCATCACTATTTGGCTCATTTCTTTAGCATGAGCTAGAGTCCTGCAAGTCCCCTTCATCGATTGGACTCTGTGTGGATCTTTGTAGAATCCTAACGGTGGCGTAGGTATTTAACTTTAGTTATTATATTATTTATATAAATTTTGTATAAATAATACTGTCAAATCGCAACGACACCTTGCAGTATGTGTATATCGGTCCTTGTGAGTATAAGATAGAATACTTCAGATAATAAATTGAGCTCTGTTATAAACTTATCCGAGATTAAGGCAAGAGTTAGGAGTTTACGTTTAGGATTTTTTTTTGTCACACCCATTTATAATGAAATTAAGTTAAAAAAAAACTTCCATTTTCAAGAAACGGATCCAACTTATTGCTGCAATGAACAGTTACCATCCTTAAGAGAAAGCTTTTAACGAAGAAAATTTACATAATTCTGAATATTTATTCCAAAAAAGTGATAAACAAAAACTTAGTTACATGTAAAGTGCTAGCCATAATTGATATTCAGTTAGAATAACACGTTTAGTTTAAAAATTTGAATTAGTACAATGATTTCACCTTCAAATAAACGCTAACAATAAAACATTTTTAAGTACTTATGACTATCAACCACATTTCCATTATCACAACTTACTTAACAAAGTGATAAATAAAAATATACATATAACTGATATATTTTATTTTCTATAGCATATAACTTTAAGCAACGCAAAAAAAAACGTAAAACATTTCAAAAGTTCATGTATGTGAAATACAATTCAAAATTAATATTCAATTGTATATTTTCAATTCTAATACAACTATGTAATTGAAAAACCAGATCTAAAATCCTATGTTTCAATTTTGGAATGTTAAATTGCGTAACTCATACATTTTTGTTTTCAATATACATGCTTTTAAGAACCGAACTTGTTAGTTGGCGAATTTATACCCAAAGCGTTAAATAGTTTGGTTTTCAGTCCACCTTTTTCTGCATCTGGCGTGCGGGCGGTATTTAACTGCTAAAAAGAGAATTATATAAATTAAATAAATAATTGCATTTATATATATATATCTTTAATTGTAAATTGATTTACAAAACCTCTAATTACACTACAGAACAGGGCGATCTGTTGCCAAACTGATCTAAGTTTTACACAGTTACGAGTTCCAACTTCATGATCTAAGTCTAAAGAATGTAGATTATATATATATACAAAAAAGATGTGCAGAAACTTGTTTAATAAAAGTTTCTGTGGTCGTGGTATGTATCTATTTGAGAAGCTTAATTTGAAGGAGAATGTTGATTCATCTAAACCACATTAGAAAGTGATGTAATCAAAACATGCATTTTGTCTGTTATTGTGATGGAGTTAAAAGAACTAACCGCTTTGACTACTTGTTTATTAATTTTGTTATACCAAAATTAAATTAAAAAGGTAGCATGCTGTGTTTTATTAACAATACGAATTTTAACTAAAGTGATCCTTCCTGCAAAATTCTAGCTTTTCATTAAATTAAATCATTAATTTAAAGTTATCCTTGCTCCAAATGACCTTACGAAATTCTTAAACAGTATCTAGTAAGTACAGTACCTACTTAGATCCCAATTTACACCGTGTTAAAAGCAGTTATGTGTACAATGATAAAGTAATGTTTAATATAAGTAGAAAGAGTAGTACCTGCCATTAGAAACAGTGCTAAAGATAGAAGAAAAAGAATGCGAGTATGAGGGGTGTTGGAAGGGAGTATATGAATGGGGAGAAAGGGATAAGTGCCAAAAGGAGGAGTATAAGAATATGAGAAGTGAATATAGAAAGCAGATAAACAGAAGTAAAGAGGAATACAGTGATATGCTAATAAATGAATTAAAGAATACGAGAGGAACGGAGGGGTTTTGGAAGGAAATAAATAGATAAAGGAAAAGTAATAAGGAGCAAGAAAATGGGAGGATTGAAAGGAAAGAGTGGAATAGGTATTTTAAAAAGATATTGAAAGGGAAGGATGATATGGTGATAGGGAATTTTGAAGTAACAGTGGTGGGTGCTAGGAATAAAGAGGAGGGAGGATTTGAAACGGATGATGTTATTCTAGTTGTAGGATAGAAATAGGAATATTATTTAGTGTTAAGTGTATAGGATAGTCAGCATTCTAGAAGCAAAATTTGAAAAGTTTGGTGTTAGGATTGATGTAAGGATAACTGAAGGTTCAATAATGTAAGGAGTAAGAATTACCCAATTAATATAATATTTGTATAAATAATCAATTTACACCTTGCCTGTAATATTTAAAATAAAAAAGTTAAAACTCCTGTCACGATGAAGCTCGAAAATGGAACACTATTTTCCCTAAAAATAAGAGATTAGGTACTAAGCTTTACCCGAGCAAGCAATTCTAGTTCCATTATAGGTCCAAATATTCAACTAAGATATTTCTAAATAAAATGGGTATGTTACCATTTACCATATATATATATAAGAAACAACTTTGAAAGTGTGACTCAAAAGTTTCGTTTCTTTTTTTTACACTACCTTTATGCCGAAATTTTCATTAAGTGTGCAAGTATCTGATGCTAAATAATATTGCAAACTTGAAAATGATCCAAAAGATACTTCATAGGAAATCGGCAAACAAAAAATATGTCAATTCTAAACAAAAAATATGTTTCATATTGCACATGAACTACTTTAAACGACTTCAACATAAAATTATTAAACAAATTGCCATTTCCAGAAAAATAAAATTATTGTATATACGAATCTTACATTGTGTGTGGATGTAGGTACTTGCGAATTGTGTTGTGTCCAAATTAATTTTAAAATATTTTATTTCCAATAGTGTTCAGTGACTTACCTCATCTCCATCAAAAGCCATGTCAAGAGATTCTTTGGAGCCTCGGTGAGAAGTTTTCTCTTTGCCACTAGATTTACGTTTGTCTCCGTCACCTAGTATGTCTGCCACCTTAGCTTGTTTTACTATGTCCAGAGCCTATAGCGATAAGCACTTTCAATAAGCAAATACAATTTATTGGTTTACTAGCCCCAATTTTGAACCGCTTATTTTACGCAATCTAAGCACTACGACTAATAAGAATATATCAACATACATACATGATAATATGTTTTAAGTTTGTAATATAAACAAGAATAAAATATTCAAATAAATGAAATTAACTTACTTGCTGTGCATGCTGAAGCAAAGGAATAAAAATGATTATTTAGTAATATTTATCGCACCCCAAAATTTAAAAGTAGGGACATATTACTTGACAGAAATAGCTTGGCCCCTGAATTGTTTACGTCCATCGATGCGCGATGACACAACTGATATTGTATTGGGGAGAGCCAGTTTGGTCGTCATGATTTCGTGAAATCATGACAGTGTATACAAACTCGCCCCTTATTATCAGAAAGTAGCTTTAAACCCGATACTTCAACGATAGATAAAGTTAACAATCATTTTCACCTAATTTTGAAGGTGGGTAAAATAGTTTTAAAAGTTATTTAAAATACAAAATGCAAAATAGGCGAATCTGTTTTATTTAAAGTGCATTATTAGTTTTCGCGTAAATATTACCGATATAATTAAAACATCCTGGGGTAAATTTACTTGCACAATACGAGCCCGATCCGAAAAACAACTCAAATACCAAGCGACAAACTGCATCTCTTTCCTATCGAAAGCGTCGTTCTCTCGAAATCTCAGAGGTCAATCTACTTCTGTTAAGCTGTATGTTAACATACGTTTCTAAGACATTTAGTCCGTACTTCATGTCATGCAGATAATTTTAAAATATCTTAATTACAATATAAGCTGTCTACTTGTAATAAGAAGTATTACAGAAAGCTATAGAAATTCATTTCTTGTTGTACTAATTGTACAAATGCTATTTTTAATCACAAATTTTCATGAAACCACACTTTATTATTCGCATTATTTCAATAATATTGAAATCAGTAATTCATAGGTTGAATTAAAAGTAAAAATTAGTAATATTAAAAGATTACCTTAATACAGAATGTTTCCAATAAAAATAATTGATCTAAGTTTTACACAGTTACGAGTTCCAACTTCATGATCTAAGTCTAAAGAATGTAGATTATATATATATACAAAAAAGATGTGCAGAAACTTGTTTAATAAAAGTTTCTGTGGTCGTGGTATGTATCTATTTGAGAAGCTTAATTTGAAGGAGAATGTTGATTCATCTAAACCACATTAGAAAGTGATGTAATCAAAACATGCATTTTGTCTGTTATTGTGATGGAGTTAAAAGAACTAACCGCTTTGACTACTTGTTTATTAATTTTGTTATACCAAAATTAAATTAAAAAGGTAGCATGCTGTGTTTTATTAACAATACGAATTTTAACTAAAGTGATCCTTCCTGCAAAATTCTAGCTTTTCATTAAATTAAATCATTAATTTAAAGTTATCCTTGCTCCAAATGACCTTACGAAATTCTTAAACAGTATCTAGTAAGTACAGTACCTACTTAGATCCCAATTTACACCGTGTTAAAAGCAGTTATGTGTACAATGATAAAGTAATGTTTAATATAAGTAGAAAGAGTAGTACCTGCCATTAGAAACAGTGCTAAAGATAGAAGAAAAAGAATGCGAGTATGAGGGGTGTTGGAAGGGAGTATATGAATGGGGAGAAAGGGATAAGTGCCAAAAGGAGGAGTATAAGAATATGAGAAGTGAATATAGAAAGCAGATAAACAGAAGTAAAGAGGAATACAGTGATATGCTAATAAATGAATTAANGCTACGCCGCATCCTAATAAAGGGAAGGGGCATATCTCCAACTTCTTGAAACGAACAGTAAATATTTGTATGCCTTAATGTTCACCGTTTTCGAGAAAAAACGTAGATGACAGTCCCTACAGGTAACGTTAGACGTTCCATAATGTTACACTCTCAATCTATGTACCTGCAGTTTTTTTTCTCGAAAACAGTGAACGTTCGCATCAGCAAACAGCTTACTTTTCTTGTTCTACACTGCCCTATCACGTCCAGCATGTTTTGTACTTGTTTCAGAAACACGTTGTATGTAGGCAAGTCTGCACGCACACAATCATGCACACACGCACGCGCGCTCGCGCATTATTCAAAAGACAAACTGATATAATATAATTCTTCTTAATTTTGATTGTTTATAGACTATTAAAATAAATTAAAAAACTGAGAATATTTTTGAGGTCTACATATGTCAATAGCGTCCTCTGTAAATAGCTTGTAGAAACCGAGTGGTGTAAACGTTCGACAACTGATTTTTTTCGGACAATTCGGTACGTTCGTTTAAATTGTGTATTTATTTTTACTTATTCCTTTTTTGTTAGACTTGTTTACGGTTACAGTGAGGAAGACAGCACTCACGAAGTGATTTCATGTATTTCCTTCAATTTGAATGTTCTATTTAATAACTTCCTAATTTCACCTTTCTCAAAAAAATTATTTATTTTCACTTTTTTGTATAAGCAATCAAACAAATAAAGTATTAGCTTATCTCTTTTGAGGAGGCCGTAACTAATGTAACTAATGTGACCAATCGTGTAACAGTATTTATGATTGTAACTTGCAAATACAATACGCTAATAAATCATACTCTGAGTGACAAGTAGTTACCGCTTAACAATAAAAGATCCAGATTCTCTATAACAGTGAAGGCGATTCCAGAGGATTCAAGTACAAAATAAATAAAGCTTTGGATGACAGCTGGAGTTAATTAGTGTACAGGCAGTTGATGAATAATATAATAACAGTGCGAATTTCGAGCGTATACAGACGACTTAAATACAATGACGATTCCATAAGAAATATAAATACCGAGCGATATAAATAAGAAGTAGTTTTTCTTCACGCCTTAAATATAATACCGATTATTATGAAATTTTGTATACACATTGTTACAGGTACAGAAAAGGACATAGGGTATTTTTTATCAAGAAAAAGATATGTTCTCGAAAGATAGAAAAATTAGTTTTATGTGACCGTCGATGATCTTTGGCACGTATTTAGGACACCATGCGAGCGAAGCCGCGGGTAAAACCTTTCACGAAATATTTTACACACATGTCGATTTCACTTCCTAACTACTCCACCGATTATCGTGAAATTAAGTAAACACATTGTCAGGGTTATAAAATATTTAATCAACGCGAGAGAAGCCCCGGGGGTAAAAACTAGGTAGCATATAAACAAATAACTGTAGTATAAATAAAACGCTACATACTATCAGCGATGAACAAAGTTATTTAATTTATTTTTTTTTTGTCTATACATTATTGTGTACCATATGTGTAATAGCATAGTAATAAACTGTTGATATATATATATATTGTATTAATCGTTCCACAAACGACACTGTTTACATTTTCCATCAATGTAGCTGCTTAGGTGTTATCGCAATTCACGCGCAAGAGCGGCTTCGTATTGTAACTTCTTCGGGTTTTTTCCAAATGTTTTTGTACCCTAACGACCCAACATGCGATTTCATATTGCTTCTAGTTAACTCGCTCCAAAGCTTGTCACTTATTTTAGAAACGCCCTGTATATAACTAGCCTCGTAGGGATCATAAAAGGTAGGTGTGTCAAGAGGTTTCTTGGGTCGCACATTATAGTCCTGGGGCGAAGATACGATTGGTTTGAACATTTTCCATTTATATTCAACCTGAAGTAAACATCTTGTAAAAACAAGTAATCATCTGCAGAAGGTTTCTTTGTGCAATTTTTATCATCACTATTTGGCTCATTTCTTTGGCATGAGCTAGAGTCCTGCAAGTCCCCTTCATCGATTGGACTCTGTGTGGATCTTTGTAGAATCCTAACGGTGGCGTAGGTATTTAACTTTAGTTATTATATTATTTATATAAATTTTGTATAAATAATACTGTCAAATCGCAACGACACCTTGCAGTATGTGTATATCGGTCCTTGTGAGTATAAGATAGAATACTTCAGATAATAAATTGAGCTCTGTTATAAACTTATCCGAGATTAAGGCAAGAGTTAGGAGTTTACGTTTAGGATTTTTTTTTTGTCACACCCATTTATAATGAAATTAAGTTAAAAAAAAACTTCCATTTTCAAGAAACGGATCCAACTTATTGCTGCAATGAACAGTTACCATCCTTAAG